CCTCTACTATGCAGGATGCAATGGCTAGAGCTCTTGAATTCGAATCTTATGTTAAGTCCAGCACAGAGGTACGAAAGTTGGTACAGTCATTGGGATTCAAGGCCAGAAGAGGGCAGCTCTCAGAGAAGTTTGAAGGACTTTGCTGGTATTGTAACAAACCTGGGCACAAGAGAGCTCAATGACGGCAACTATAACACAAGGAAGATGGCACGGCAGGAAAGGGTGCTACCCAGAAAGGTTGTTGGAACTGTGGAGAGCAAGGAAACATGAGGAGCTAGTGTCAGAAGAATACTACCAATAAGTCAGCCTCGGGGAACCAGTAGTGGATGGTGTTGAGGGAAACCCACCAAACCCCTATTGTGAAAGTCCCAACAGCTAAGTATCAAATCGCAAGAACACATAGTGTCTAAGTGTCAGAAAAGCTGGATGGCCAAAAGTGCACCTTTGTCATAGATTCTACATCTCAGCAAACCCTTGTGAGTATCAAGGTGCTAGATCACAAAGGAGTACCAGAAGACATACAAAAGCTCTGTGGTGTGACAGGACATTATACAAGGTTGTGGGGACCAGTATGGGTAACTACTGAGCTCATGGGCATAAAGGACAGACACAAAGTAATTTGCTGACATTGAAGACCCATGCATATTAGGGTTGGACTACTTACTACTGAGGAAGTGTGTAGTTAACTTTAATCAAATGGCCAAATTCCAGCAAGTGTTAAAAGAGAGGTTGGACAAACCAAGTGCCATCAAGCTGAAATCAAAGTGACTGAAGGAGATGATGATGGTGAAGTGGAACCAGGTATAGATATTAAAGCAAAGCAGGAGAAAGACTAATATTTGAAGCCAATAATTGATTTTGTACAAGCAAGTGTTTTGCATCCTGCTTGGGAGAAGGTGTCTAGCTTAAGCCCAGTGACAAAAACTATTGGGCACAATGGAACCAGTTGAAGCTTGAAGATGGTAGTCTTGTCCAGAGATGGGAAACTGCAGATGGGAAAGTGACGACCAGGCAAACAGTTATACCGAGAAAGTTGTGCTGTGTCAATCCCATGATAGTTTTACAGGAGGACATCTTGAAGTTAAGAAAACATTGAGTCACCTATGGCAGAGATTTTATTGGATAGGTATGAGGCAAGATGTGGAAGAATGGTGCAGGACCTGCAGTACATGTTGTACAATAAGGGGACCAAAGCATGAGGGACGTGCTCCAATGCAGTTATATCAAGTTGGTGCACCAATGAACAAGTAGCCATTGACATTGCTGGTCCTTTGCCCCAAACTCATGCTGGAAACAGGTATATTTGTGGGGTGACGGAATATTTCACCAAGTGGCCAGAGGCATATGCAATACCAAATCAGGAAGCTACAACAGTAGCTTCGGCTGTTAGTGATTTTTTCTTTAGGTTTGGTATGCCATACGAACTGCATTCTGGTCAAGGCCATAACTGTGAATCAGCTGTGTTCCATGAGTGCTGCAAGTTGTTTGGCATATGAAAGACCGGGAC